CAGAGCGCTGAACCACCTTCAGTGGAATCTGGAGACCAAACTGACGACATCATATCACATTCTGATTCATAGAACTGAGAGTCTGAGAATAAATCGTTTTATTTAGAAAACTAGAAAATGATGATAAGATAAAGTTCGGATCGACGCTGACGTCAATCTATGAACCATTTCTACTCATTTAACACAACTTCCTTCCTGAACGCGGCGAGCAGAAGTCGGCTCTGCAGCAGCAGTTTCTTGTTTCACAGAAACTCAACCAGACATCTGATCTGAGTCGCCTCCGTCACATAGCAGCAGCCTGAATGTTGAGCTGCAGTTGGTGGTTCAGGTGGACTTTTCAGGTGTGCAGATCTTCCAGGTGAGCACGGTTTGTCGGAGCCTCCCTGATGCTGAAGCTGCGTAATGCTGATTTATCGATAAATTGATCGGCAGAAAGCTCATCTGCAGCTGTTTCTCATGTTAAAATGCGCTGACAGATCTTAGCTGGTTTAAAGGTTTGGTGTCAGAGACACGAGCGAGCAGCAGCTGTCCTCGTTAGCTTCACTTAAATGATCACTGAGCCAAAGCGTCCAGCAGTCAGCCATCGCAGCTTCTCTGTGTCTCAGGACAGAAGGCCAGATGAAAGCATCAGGTCCTCACATTTAGATTTAAATGTAGTAGTTGAACGTTAAATGAACTAATTCATCTATTTGTCCAGAGAGAACCTGACCAGCACACAAGCATCGGGTCACTTCTAGGAAAAACAGCAAAGGTTGGACATTTAGCCTGAAAAATAAAACGTGTTCAGTTTGGCTCCATCAGCTGGACAGACACGAAGCTCTAAGCAGCGGCGGCGGCGGTTGTGTCGTCATGACACCGACTGTAATATATCAGAAAACAGAGTTCATCATCACAGTCCAACGGTCGAGTGTCTGACTCACACAAGCATCAGGTCGTCGCATTTCACAAGACAAAAACGGTTTCATGTAAAATGTCGGGTGTTTGATCGATCGACAGTCGACTGACGTTGCAGCTCTGACGACACAAACGCCTGCAGCCCGGCTGGCGATTGGCCGTGAGACCGACGGGGGTGGGGCTACGTGGCGAGGGAGGCGGGGACGATCTCCCTCAGCAGCTGGTTGAGCGCTCCGATCTTCTCCTCCAGCAGCGAGCTCTTCTTCTCGGCCTGTTTCTGCCGCTGCTCGGTGACCTGCAGCGCCTTCATCAGCTGGCCGTTCTCCACGTACAGCTCCTTCAGCAGCACGCCCGCCTTGCTGCTCCTCGCCATCTGCACGAGAAACGGCGTCAGACCGCGACAACGTGGACGACAGAGATGCTGCCGACGACTCACCTGCTCCTTGAGCTGCTGGACTTTCTCCTGCAGAACCAGACGGACTCCTTTCAGTTTGACCTCCAGGTCCTGGACTCTCTGCTGCAGCGCCGCCATCGCCTTCTCATGCTGGTCCTGGACAACAACAACGACAACAATGACACAACAACAACAACAACAACAACAACAACAACAACAACAACACACAGTCAGACTGACGGCAGAGCAGCTGTCTGTCATCAAACATCTTTCAAATATCACCAACATGTCATAAAATACATAAACGACCACAAAGCTTCAGAACTACAACGCTGACGACTCAGCTGCAGCCTCGGGTGAGCCTGACTCGGGTGTAAGCCTGACTCGGGTGAGCCAGCCTCGGGTGAGCCTGACTCGGGTGAGCCAGCCTCGGGTGAGCCTGACTCGGGTGAGCCTGACTCGGGTGAGCCTGACTCGGGTGAGCCTGACTCGGGTGCATTTACCTGTTTCAGGCTGATCTGGGAGCTGCTCTGTTGGAGCTGCAGCTTCACCGTCTCCTCCAGCTGCTGACTCCTCCTCTGCTCCTCCACCAGCTGCTCCTGCAGCTCCTGCAGCTGCTCTATGCGACCACCGCCTGCTCGCTCCTGCAGCTCCTGCAGCTGCCGCAGGTGCTGCGCCTGCACCACGGTGAGGGCGGCGTCGGCCCGGACCACCTGCACAGACCAACTACAGGTTTAATCATCTCCAACCCTCGGCTTCAGGTTAAAGTTCTAAAGTTCTGATCCGGACCTGCTCCTCAGCCTGAGTCCGAGCCGCCTCCATCTCCGTCAGCCTGCTCCTCAGGTTCTGCTGCTCCTGGCTCAGGTTCTGGACCTGCAGATCCTGGACCTGCAGCTGTGACACCTGACAGAGACATCGACCAATCAGCTTTAGCGGTCATGTTGCTGGCCCCGCCCCCACAGCCCTGTCCAGTACCTGGTTCTGGAGCTCCTGGTTGTGGGCCCTCAGTGAGTGCCTCTCCTGCTGCAGGCTGACGGAGGCCTGACGGAGCTCCTCCTCTTCCCTGAGAAGCCTCCTGACTCCGCCCTCCAGCTCCTCCACCTGACAGAAGCAGAGACGCTGAGGAACACCTGCAGGACGTGCAGCCAGTAAACAGAGAGGACAGGTGAGCTCACCTTGCTCTGGGCCTCCTGCAGCTTCTTCTGCAGCTCGCCCACTTCGTGGGCGTGGTCCAACCGGTCCTGACTGACGGCCTGCAGCTGAGAGCGAAGAAGCTCCGCCTCCGACTCCAGAGAGACGACGTGCTGCTGCAGCTGCTGCACCTGAACACAGGACAGGTGGACGATGAGCAGGTCGACAAACAGGTGGACACCTGACAGACAGCAAGACCAGCAGCAGAGCAGCTGGCTGACGTCCACACCTCCTACA